CTGCAAAAACTACACTACATACACTATGATTTGTAGTTCAAATTTCTCCAAAGTGAAGAGATAAAAACTTTTGTGAATTAATCTAATAGAATCATTCTGAATTTTTATAACTTTCCTTTGATTTTTTTTCTGGTAGTGGTACTAGGGATTGAGCCCTAGACAATGGTCCTAGGCAAGCATTCTACCACCACTCCACATCTCCAGCCCCTCTCCTCACACTTTTATATTGTTGCATTTATAGTAAATTCAATGGCAATTTTTAAATGCTTCTTCCTTATTAAGTTTTTCCAAAGCATTCACCTTAGATTTCACTGAAATAACTCTTTTCATACTTCATGTATCATTGGCTTATATGGTATTCATTAGTATATGTCATCAAAATGATAAACTCACATGGCATAAACAGGCTAGGAATAAACCCAAGCAAATCTTGGGCACAAACTCATGATAAGAACAGAGGTAGAATGAATAAAAGTGACAGTAGGTACACTAGAGAATAGTCTCCTAGCCATGAGAGTTCAGTCTAACACATCAACATGTTCTCCAGAGGGTATCTGGAGAGCTTCCTAGATGGAATTCAGTTAGGGAGATTCTAGTATAGGTGGTTTGTTTCCTTCTGGGTATGTAATGTCTTTTGCTTTTAGTTGCCTATCAGAACCTCCTGCAAAGCTAGTGGTATCAAGAATTTCACCTCTTTTCCTTCTCTTGTTTCCATACCTAATTTATCATTGTTAAACCTCTTATGTAGACACAATTGATAATTTACCATTAATAATTAATATTAAGATGATAGTAACTATTATATGATAACTTGGAATTTTGTTATGATTATTTCAAAAAAAATTAAAAATTCCTGCAAATCCTAGTAAGATATAGAACAGCAAACTTTTTCTGTAAAAGCCCACATATTTTTGGCTTTACAGGTCCCTACAGCATATTCTTCTTGGTTTTTGTTGTCTCATACAAAAACAGGCAACTTACATATCTGGGCCATAGTCTGCTGACTCCTACTATACAACAAGGTATAAGGAACAATACTGTATTTCACTTATAGATATTTAATTCGTACTTATAGTAACTAACATTTACTTTCAAAGCTTACAATATGCCAGACACATTAAGGTATGCTAAGTGTTTTATGTGTACTGTCTGATTCAAACCTTATAGCCACCTTATGTTATAGTTACTATTATTATTCCTTTTACAAATAAATAATTGAGACTTAGAGAGAGTAATTTCCCAACAATAAGTGGTGAACTCAGAGTATCAACCCTGAAAACTGAGATCACAATTACTAAACTCTACCACTTCTGAAAAAGTTTTCAGTTAAACGTATCCAAGGACATACAGATAGTGGCATGGCCACATTGATCTTCTGAATAAATATTCAGAGAAGCCTACATTTTAAAGGGGGATTTGGCAACACAGTAACCCAACAAATAAATTCCAATAGTATAATATTAATCATTGATAAGAAAGGAGTATCAGTCAGTTGCTGGTGGCTCATGCCTATAATTCTAGCTACTAAGACGGTAGAGATCAGGAGGATCGTAGTTCAAAACCAGGCTGGGTAAATAGTTCACAAGACCCTAACTCTAAAAACCCATCCAAAAGGGCTGTGCCTTCTTTTTCAGAAAGGCAGCAAGAGAATCTCAATTATGGAAGACAGATGTGCGACAAATAAATTATCTTAAAAATTCACAGATTCAGTTTGTCTTATTGAACATTAAAATAATGAAACACACTCTAAAGTGGAAGGCCAGCAATAGAGCAGGTCAGGTAGCTGTTTAGGGGTAGACTGACGTTGACAGGAGGAAACAAGCCAACAAAAATGTACACTATCCAGATGGCATTCATCTGGTAATTAAGAGGAATTTGGGCTGGAAGGTATGTTACAGAGATCCACAGCAAGGGGTAATACGCTATAGAATCCTAGAATATAATATTCAGAAAAGTAACAAATGTGATCTAGGAAAGCTAATGAACTCTCCTTCTATCGTAACCCTCCCCCACACACATACACACACACTCTAAATAAAAAGAACTCTCTTCATTTCTGCTTTGAGTAGAAGTGTTGGAGATAAAGACAAAGATGGGAAAAATGACAAATTATACTTTGGAGAGGGAAAGGCCTATGTAGCAGAAGTGTATAGTAAATGTGACCTTCTTTGGAGGCCTACTGCTATCCCATTCCTCCTTGGATTACAATGAAATGAAACTGACTCAGACCATGATTCTCTGCTCATTACACATAACTAATAGTCATACAGACTGCTGCTACCATCTACACAAAAACTTGTATATCAAAAGCCTATCACCTGGATGGTGATAATGATGACCATATTTGTGCCATATACTGCTCAAAGTGTTTTAAGTATAACAAGTAATTTAATTCTCACACTATGAGATGACTACATTTATAATTCCTACCCTTGTTGAGAATGCTAAGCACAGAGTGAATTGTTAAATGGCTTGCCCAAATTCATACAGCTAACGATGGTGAAGCTGGAATTAAAACCCAGGCACACTGGCTCTGCAGTCCACATACTCTTCACCACCTGGTTTAATTATGCCACCACAAGCAAGTGATTGACATCAGAGTATCTTTTACCATATAAAGTATTCCAGGCATTGCACCCCGGATTAAAGTAAAGAAAGAAGGCTAATCTTGGAAGAACCAGGTTATCAGGGATATGTTTGAGGACATTACTTAAGCATGAGAAAAAGATTAATTCAACAGAAGAGAAAATGACTGTATTTCCATATCAATTTGACATACTAAATTAGCAAACTAAACTGTTTTAAATACTGAGATCTAAAGTGAATATAATTCAGATCATAAATCCTAGTCCATTGTAAGTGCTTGATCTTTCCACGAGTCATATAATGTTTTTTAAAATTAAAACAGTCATGTTACAAATTTTGAACCACACTACTAGAAGAAATGCTGATAATCATAATTTAGAACAAGAATTTAAATAGTTCTGATGTTAGGCTTTCAATGAATATGTGGGTTTCATATGAAATATTGACTTACTGTTCTTTGAACTGCATAATAAAATTATGCACTAAACAGAGAAATGCTCTGTAATCTTGGGATTTAAATTTTTCTATTTTCAGTCATATAAGAGCAACAAAGTAGGAAAACTTAAGGCAGATCTTGAAACATATGCTCAGGAAATTTCTTTCCTAGTTAACATGAATTTTTTTTTTTTTTTTTGGCTAAGGTGAACATGAGCAAGAACTTTCTTGGAATACAAACCTAATATTCTAGATCCAGCTCCTACAACACAGTCCTGGTCCTGTTAGTTCATTCTCAAGCAACAAACAGGGCAAGTCCAAATATAAGCAGTGAGGACAAATTGCAAAATGGTCTTAAGATCCTGCCTTCCTTGGATGACAGCAATAGCCTTAGATTTCTATAAGCTGAACTTTACTGGGATGCCTTAATGGTCTTAAGAATAATCTGGGGGTGGGGAAATGACCCAAACAATGTATGCACATGTGAATAAATAAACAAACAAACAAAAAAAGAATAACCTGGATACAAAATAAAATTAATTTGAAAAAAAATAGTTTGTATTAGCAAGAAAAGAGAGAAAAAGATAGACATGCAGTTTAGGAAATGTATACCTATGATATGGTATACACTGATCAATCTATATTAAATTCTATATTTTACTATACATATTGCAGATCTCATAAGAATTAGGAAAGTGCCAATGCTTTCCTAATTTCCTCAGCACTCAGGAGGCTGAGGCAGAGGATCAGGAGTTCGACCCAGGAGGATCAGGGTTTGAAACCACCCTGGGCAAACAGGGTTTATCTCGAAAAACCCTTCACAAAAATAGGGCTGGTGGAGTGGCTCAAGGTGAAGGCCCTGAGTACAAAGCCCAGTACTACAAAAAAGGAAAGTATGAATATGTGTGTACTTATATTATAAAATACATGTTACCAAAAAGGAAGCCAAATTCTGAAGAGCAAATAGTATGGTTCAACCTGGCAATCTTAGAGTTTGACAACGTACTACTGTCAATTAACTAGGAAAACCAATATGATTTCTGAGCTTTGTAGCTTCTTGTAATCTAATCCTACTGTTAATTTTATTAAGGGTTATGGACCCTTGACCCTAGGAAATTGCTTAGCGACACTGCAAAGTCTGGTTGGTCCTCCTTCAGGAGCACAAAATAACTTTCAACACTCATGTTTGAAACACGAACTGTTTGAATTCCTCAGGTCTCTGGTTGATTCTAGTACACAGTAAGGCCCAGCTGTAGCTATATTTCTTTTTCCTTGAGTTCCAACAGATAATCTGTATATCTTATTAAAGTTTTTTTTTCTTCTGACTAAAGCAGATTTTAGCTACTTACACTCAAAAGAGCCTAACCAAAATAGGCAGCAGGCATTAATTTGAACTCTAAAAGTCTGGAATGTCTAAGCAACCCAATTCTAAGCAGAACAATGGTTTTTAAAAAGTAGATTGAAACATTAAACCTCCTAATCAATGCTATTCATGAATGTCTTCTATTTTGAATCACAGAATTTGAGCCAAAATGCATTCAGAAAAAATACATGCCATTCATGGAAAAATAATCATTCTCAATACATAATGTCTGTAAAATTAAAAACTGCATTTAACAACATTTTCTGTGACAGTGGCTTTCAAGTTTATTATAGGCAACAGAACATTTTCTTCCACTGGAATATTAGGTTTATTCCCAATGCAAAGAATAGCAAAGAATTCAGAGAGAAGATATGTATTGCCTGAAACCTGCAAATATGCATGTCTGGATGGACCCATGCATGCCTGTATAAGCTTGCAGGCAGAAAACTTTGTGTAATGGCCAACCTCTTCCCATGTCAGAGACCCCTGAGGAATCATTACAGAACCCTGAGGCTTACATGAACCACAGCTTGAAAACCACTGTGTTAGAAAAGACAGCCACTCTTCTATACTCTAAGATCACAAACAAGACCAAATCAATCACATTTCTACTTACCTGTGGGCTTTAAAATTTTTCCCATCAACATAAATATCAATATCAGGACAACAAAATTTCACATAAAGCTTCAATAAATCTTCTCCTAATTCAGATGCAGGTTCCAAATCATAATTATCTTTAAAAAAATATGCAAAAATAGATTCTTTATGATTAGAAGCATACCAAAATTGTTTTCTAATATTACCAAGAGGTTTTTCTACATAATTATCTCAATTAGTTAGAATATTTAAGTAGCACATTTAAAACAAAACAAAAATTTTAAATCATCTACACTTTCTGCCTTGAAATACATATTTCTACTCATACTTAAATATATGTTTGGGGATTTTTTTTTTTTTTGCATTTTTCTTTTTTGGTGGTACTGGAGTTTGAACTCAGGGCTTTGCACTTACTAGGAAGTGCGCTGTTACCACTTGTTCTATGCCTCCAGCCCAAACATACCTCTAAATATACATATTAAAATACAAGTAACTTATACTGCAAAATTATATAGCAATAATGAATTTACTACATGAACATATGAATTAGAAAATCAGAAAAATTACCAATTTTGATATTCTTTATTTGATTTTCCAATAAAGGCTTGGTGCCCTTGTTGGTGCTGTGGACCTTTAGAAGGTAGGGCTGAGCAGGTAGGTCACTGGGAGCCCATGAAGGGAACTGTGGGACCCTAGCCTCTTCTTCTTCCTCTTTTGCTTCCTGGCTATGAGTAAGCAGGTTGTTCTGTCAGGTGCTCCACAACATTGACATCCAACACACCCACAACAGGCCTAAAGTAATGGATCTGCCCAATCACAGACTGGAACCTCCAAAACTGTGAGCCAAGATAAACCTTTTCTCTTTACAGATTAATTATCTCAGGTATTTCAATAATGGCAGTAAGCTAATCCATCCTACTTCATGAATATACATCTAGAATGACGTGCAAGCTGATAGAACCATTTTTATTACAATTTTAATGGGTTTTATTATTGCATTTTCATACCTGATAGAACTTCAACAGAAACCAATGAGTATTATTAGAGCACATACTGGGAGGTTAGGACTACACATAGCATGAAGAGATAGAGAAAATAAGTATTTTTTTTTTAAAACTCTCTTCTTCAAAAGATTCAACATTTTTGTAGCAGGAAACATATGACATGTATGGATTGTTCCTTGTTGAAGTAAACTGAGTTAAATTTACTTTGTCTAAAGATTTTCTGTTAACAACTATATATCATACTTTACCAGTCCTAGCACATCTGGTGAGGATTAAATCAGTGGTAACAGATTCCCACTGACCAACCATAAGTGTAGAGTATAAACTACAATGTCAATATTGGCTCTATCATCAAAAGAGATTCAGAATTTAATCACTACTTAATATACCTCCCCTGTTATAATCTAGTCCAAGTTATCATCATCTCTTATCTGGATTTCTATGATAACCTCCTAATAGGTCTCCCACTCTTGACCCCCCCAAATCTATTTTCAACAAAGCATCCAGAGGTATTAAAATGCAATTCAAATCATGGTCTGTCACAGTTCAAAACCTTCCTATTGTTCACTCCACTTCTTTTACCATGGTCTTACATGTCCCCACAGTATATGGTTTCTCATTATTACTCTGACCTCAATGCCTACTGATTTGCTCTTTTCCATATTTAACTCCTTCTCATTCCTCCAACATGGCAGGTACATACATTCTCATTTTAGGATCTTTGCACTAGCGTTTCTTACGCCTTGAACATTCTTCTTCACAACACCCAAAATGGGGGTTTGCTGAACCATCACATTTTCAATGAAACTGAACCTAACTACTCGATCTAAAATTACAACTTCATCACTACCCTTCCTAACTCCCTTTCTCTACCAAATTGATTTTTCTAAAATATTCCAACCTTCTAACTTCTTTACCATGTTTATTATTTACCCTCTACCCTACCCTATCTTCTCCCAAATGCTTTTTTTTTTTTTTGTGGGAGTGGGGTTTGGACTTCCAAAGTGGGCACTCTACCATTTGAGCCATGCCTCCAGTTCAACCCTATCTCCTTTAGCTAGAATGTAAGATTCAAAAGGACAGGAAATCTATTTCAGTATTGAGGTATCCCTGGGACCTACAACAGTACCTGACACATAATAGATCCTCAATAAATATTTGTTTGCTGAATAAATATATCAACCACTACATATAAAAAATTTTAAGAAAAAAACATAAAACTCTAACCAGAATTAAGCAGTAGGAAAAAAGAGAGATCCTAGTACTTCAACGATTCTTACAGAAGACTTAAAACACATAATTTAGTGAAATGATGAATTTCCCCTTAACATAAAGGGAAAGCCAAGAAACTTTTAACCAAGTTAAATTGACAGATTATACTATATAATGTATCACAACTCTCATTTGTGTTCTCAAAATAACCTACTGAATTTGAATTATCACAGTGTAGTATAATAAAAAATATATATTTGGTCTTTGTCCCAGGTCTTGGCGAGTTCTGAAAACCCCTGGAATTTCCTGAGTCAAAGGAGTGTTTGTCAGTCATAAATGAGCTCCTTTTGACCATATCTAAGTTTATGATGAGGTAAATTATGGTGGGGCAGGGGGCCTAAGTAATCTTCAACACAGGAGAGTCTCCAGAAAGACCAACAGCACCCCCCGCCCCTACACACACACCACCACCACTAGGCAGAGGTAGAGCTGAAGACTGAAGTATAAAAACTCTTGAGGCCTGGTGCCAGTGGCTCACACCTATAATCCTAGCTACTCAGGAGGCACAGAGATCAGGAGGACTTCAGTTTGAAGCCAGTCCAGACAAATAGTTTGAGACACCCTATGTTGAAAATACCCCCCCCCAACACACACAAAAAGGCTGGAGGAGTGGCTCAAGTGGTAGAGCACCTGCCTAGCAAGTATGAGGTCCTGAGTTCAAAACCCAGTACCACCAAAAAAACCAAAAAACAAAAAAACTCTTGAGGAATTTGTGTATGTGTGTAGTGTTGGGGATTGAACTCAGGGCCTCCAGAGTATGGTAGAAACACTCTAGCACTGAGCTGCATCACCAGCTCAAGTTATAAAACTCTTGAACATTGAGATTCAAGGATCTTCCAGGTCACTGAACACACTGATATGCTAGGAAAGTAGTATACCTGGAAAAAGCATAGAAGCTTTGTGTACCCTGCCCCATGCCTAGCCATGTACATGTCTTCCATTTGGTTGTTCATGAGTTGCATCCTTTACAGTAAACTGGTAAACATAAATTGCGTATTATTCTGAGTTCTGTGAGTTACTCGAGCAAATTATTTAGCACATGTATAGGAGAAGCAGGTATCATGGGGCCTCTGGCATTTGTAATCAGCTAGGGACAAGTGTGGGCAGTAGCCTGGACACCCGATTTGAAGCGGATGTCTGGAGTGGGGGCAGTCATGTGAGACTAAGCCCTTTAACTGTCAGGCCTGTGTTAACTCCAGATAGTGTCAGTATTGAATTAAATTTGTTAGATACTCATTTAATTGGTGTCAGAAGTAATGTTAGGAAAAAAAGACAACAAAATCATAATACCCCAAAACTTCATGTGTCCTAATCTGAAGTCATCACTCCACCCACCTTTTAACTTATTCTCCTTATATTCCTTAAAACCTGCAAAATAGTACCCTCCAAACTCCATAGAAAATGGTTTGTAAATAAGGTTATTATGTTTTGGGTCACCTGGAACAGTCTCAGTTAATTCCTGTTGCCCCAGAACAATTATAGTTGATCCTCCCTATCTGCAGGTTCTGTATTCACAGATTCAAGCAAACACAGATCAAAACTATTTGAAAAAATGAGTAGGAATATTGCTCAGTGGACGGCATTTGCCCAACAAGCACAAGGCCCTGAGTACAATCGCTAGCATCACCCCCAAAAAAAAAAAAAAAACACTATTTGGAAAAAAGTTAGAAAGTTCCAAAAATCAAAAGTTGGATTTGTTATGCAACAAGTACTACCCCAAATTCACACAAATAAAATTATATACAGGCTGTTCCTGCTATAGCCCTCCTGCCATTTCACAGATCTTGTGTCTCTCTTGGCATTCATTTGAGAAGTATTCACCTTACTTCTCATCTCTCATTACTGTAAAATATACTTAGGGCTAGGATGGTTACATATGTATTGAACATGTATAGACTTTTAGACTATTAACATAGCATCTACATTGCATTAGTTATTATTAGTAATTCACAGATGATACAAAGTATACTTTCACAAAAGTGCAAAGTAAAGCATATACAAAGTGAAGTATATAAAGGAGGATGTGAACAGGTTACATGCAAATCCACACCATTTTATACAAGGGACTTGAGCATCAGCAGTTCGGTATCCCAAAATAGGTAAGGGAAGATCCTGGAACCAATCCTCTGTGACTAACAAGGGATAAGTGCATTAATAGCAACCCTTTCACTCTGTCAAATGTGTCCTAGTTTGGACAAAAAGTAAGGTCACCCTTCCTATAACACTTCCCATGGCGTGGCTTCTGCATACATCCACAGGCTCATTTCTTCTCTTACCGCATCCATTCCTGGCCCCTAACCCCCTACTCCCACAACAAACCATTTCTGGTTTTCCAAATATGTTAGAGGTCTGATTCTTTGCTTCCAGGCAAATAATCATGTTTACTTTACCCAGGATACTGCTCCCTTGAACTGTTTTTGCCTCATTAACTTCTGTTTATTCTATGGGATTCAACTAAGAAGTCATCTCCTCCACTTACTCTGGAAGCCTAAATTCAGATTATATATGTTCAATTTGTGTCCTATTAACAACCTACCTGATTATATGTGCAAGTAAACTCAGGACAGGAACACTACTTGTTCATTCTTACATCTTTAAAGCCAGTTAAAAAGTGTGATGGACAGAATGACATTCAGGAATAAACAGAAGTGCAAAGAAGACACAAAGGTGGGTGAACACATTTCTTTGGTGGAAACACTAGCAGAACAAATTTCCATTGAATTTCAGATAATCAGCTGTTGGGAGACTAAAGGAATATCTTTCTGTCTCCATGGCTAGCCTTTCTGAACAAGATGAACAAGAGAGTACTGGTATATCTGGTTAAACTGTGATTAAAACAGTAAACGTTCCTTAGAAGCTAGAGATAAAATATTGCTGGAGAAAGAAAGAGACTTATCAACCAAAGAAGCCATTTCCTTAAACTCCAGGGTAGAGAAAACAACATTCTACTCCCCTCCCCAGAGAAGATTTACATTCCAAAGTCAAGGCTGGCATCTCCTCCCTCTCCCTTTGAGGATGATGGACAGGTTTGCCAGCAGCCTATAAAAGCTTGGAGTTTCCTAATTTTGGTTTTCCTCTCCTGTGGCACAATAACTCTGGACAGGCAGGGTAATAACAGGCATTGTCTCATGGGGTTTCTGACGACAGAAAACCGACACTAATAGTGGTCTATTTTTTTGATTCAGAGGTTATAGGTTTCCTGTCAGAATGTCCATTCAAAAGAGAAAAAAAAAGAACGTCCATTCATCTGTCTGTATGTCTATCTATCTAATTCATGTTCTCTTTCCATCAATTCATAATAATACACAAGTTGCAATGCTTCTGACACTACCTCCACAAGCAAACTTAGGGCCTTTTTCCAGGGAAAATATATTATTATAGTATTTGTGTATTTCTTAACCATGTAATGTGTAAAACTATGCTGCCATTTTTATTAAATATCTTTCATAAATGTTTCATAATAAAACTTTTGTGTAACAGCAATTTTTATGTTGTTTATTGAGAGGTGGGGATAGGATATTCTTAAGAACTATATATACTGTGTTATAACAGAACTGAGTATAGTCTGCTAAAACAAGGACAATAACGTGCAGAGGCCTAAGTAGTCAAAAAGAAAATTGTGAATTATGTGTTGATTTATTCACAATAACCCCATCTCCAATTACCTGATAAAACTGGGAGTTGACCAGACTAGTATTTTCCTTTCTCCATGCATATTTTTAAAGTATTCTTTTCTCTAATTATAGTGGACTATAATTATTTTCATGGATATAAAATTCATAAAAATTCAACAAAAATACCTCACCATTGGAAATTAAACTGTCATCTCTGTTAGTGACATCCTCTGGAATTTCACGCTTCTCAAGAGAACAATCAGATGAATTTTTACACTTTTGAAAATTGAAGTCAAGTTTTTTTGGTGGTATCTCATTTTCCACTTTCATTTTCCTAAGAATTTCCTCTTCATAGTTTTTTATGCTTCTGTTTGATGAATATACAATCCTAAAAGACAAAATATAAAATGTTAAATAAAATAAGGGTGATTCTTAAAAAGAGAAAAACTATTGTTCCCAATGTGCTGCTTTCATATGACATATAGAAATTACATACAAAACATTTACACATAATTATATATATTTATGCATAACAACTTAAAAGCCTTTTTAATTTGGACAACTATGGGAAGGTCAATCTGAAACAATTTGAAGTTTGAAAAGTAGACTATCGAAACTTTTTATGTTAAAAAGTATTATTAATGTCAGAAAATTAAATAACCTAGATGAAATGGACAATTTCCAGAAAGACAAAAATTACCAAATTTGACTTATGAAGAAACAGAGTATCTGAATAGACCTTTAACAAACAAAGAGAGTAAATTAATAATCAAAAACTTCCCACAGAGTCTGGGGATGTAGTCAGTTGTCAAGAATTTGCCTAGCATGTATGAAGCCCTGGGTTAGACACTCAGCACTGCAAACAAAACAAATAACAAAAAAGCAGAATGAAGTGGCTTCACTGGTGAATTTGACCAAAATCTTTTATAAACTCTTCCAAAAAAAAAAAACCAAGGAGGGCCGTGATACACCTCAGTAGAAAAGTGTTTGCCTAGTATGAGCAAGACCCTGGATTCCACTGACAGCACTGTGAGGGGTGGGGAAAACTGAAAAGGGAACAAACACTTCCCACCTCATTCTCTAAAGCTAGTATTACTGATACAAAAGCAAAGACATCCCAAGAGAAGAAAAACACAGACTGGTATTCCTTACTAATAAAATAAAAGCAAACTGAATCCACCAACATAAAAAAAGGATTATACACAATGTCCAATTCCTATCTTGGGAATTCAAGAGTAGTTAAACAAGAATATCAATGTAATACACCACATTAAACCACATAGTAGCTGAGAGTCGGCACTAAGGGCCTACTTGAGGTTCACAGTCATGAATTTAAACTGACACTAATTTACATGGTTATATTTATTTTCCAGCCACATTTAGCTATGTGGACACAGGAGTAGAATAGTCAAGGAGTTAGATATAATATTTGAGGCCTTGACATGCAAATAAAACAAATTCAAAAGATTCAAAGGAACTGAGGCTATATGCAAAAGGAGTGACACAAGGATAGGCAAAGGAATTTAATCTGAGTAGAGTAAAATGAAGACATGTAACAGGTACTTAAAAACATTTTTTGCTGTGAAACACAGGCTCCTTACTTGGGCCAACAACTAACTGAAGGCAGGATAAAAGCTTGGCATCCCTGCTTCCATTTTGTATTAATCTTTGTTTTAAGCCATTTTCTCTGTATTCAGTTTGAATCACCTTGGGTTTCAGGAAAGACAAGACCAACTGATAATGTCTTTATGACATGGGACCAAAACTACTGCTAAGGAACAGCAGAGCTTTGCAAAACAGACACCCCAAATAGGAGCAATAACCTCATGAGGCTGTACCCTGGAGCAGAAGTAATCATCTTATGGGAACCAGATTGTTCCTCTCAAGTTATGACAGCAATAATTTCTCATGACCTCCTGGAGAACCAGAACTGAGATAATAATCAATCAGGCCACACTTAGCCCAGGACTGTTTAACTAGGTAACCCTTTCTCCCCTCACCCCAATTCTTCCTCTATTTAAACCTAAAGCTCAGGCCTGTATCCAACTATGGATGGAAAGGAACTGAAATGCTGTCTCCCATGGCTGCCTGTGCCATGTATTAAACCTCCTTTCTCTGCCCTTCAACATGCCTCTTTATTTGGCATATAGGGGAGAGTGGATGGACCTGACATATGGAATCCCAGAAGTTTGGGTCTGGGGCCTAAAACTCTGATTTCAGGAATAAGAATAAAAGAGACTATAAAAATCTGTTAAGATTAACTGCAGGTCCTGGTAAAGTTAATGAATGCTATGGTTTAGATACAGTTTGTCCTTACCAAAACTCATGTTGAAATTTGATTCCCATTGTGGGTAGTGTTGAAAGGTACAGCCATTGGGAAGTAGCTAAGTTGTGAAGGCACTGCCTTCATGAATAAATAAATGTTTTTCTCCAGAGACTACATTAGTTCTTGTGAAATGGATTATTAGTTCTTCTCCACAGGTTGTTACACAGTAAGCCTACACCTCTCTCTCCACTACTTTCTGCCACAAGGCCTCACTACAAGCCGAGCACATACCAGCATCAGGTTCTTAGTCTTTCATAATCATGAACCAAATAAGCCTCTTTTCTTTATAAATTACTCAGTCTTGAGTATTCTGTTTAGAGCAACAGAACATAGAACCAGAACATTGACTTATTACAGTTGGAGTCTTAAAGGGAGTAAGAGATAGGAGGTAGAAATTAAAGAGTGCTAGGAACTAAGATTATGAAGATTATGAAGTCAGTTATTGGTAATGACAGGACTGAGGATCTGACATGGTAGTAAATAGTTGAGATTTATGGATTTAGTTTGACAGATTACAGCATCTTGAGTTGTAACTGCCATGATTGTCCCAGAATAATCCTAGCCAGTTTTTGCTACATAGTTTCCCAGCAAACTACAGACAAGGCACTTGAGTGGTACGTAAGAGCTTTACAATTGGACCTAGCTCCAAGACTGTGCCTGACTCTGACTTTATCTTAAGATAAACTAGTACAAAATCACTAACACATACCTAGACAGATGGAAGTCACTTATGTCCTAATACGCTCTCTTTCTGACCCAAATTGCCAAATCCAACTGGTCTTGCAGCTGCCTAGGACTAAGCTCCCATCAGTAAGTCCCCCAGTAAATCTACTCTGTATAATTTTAGATCTGTCTCCTTTGGTCTCGCTGTATCTTGGAGCTGATCCTCATATACTAGCACTGGGTGGCTCTGGAACATGAGATAAAGTGGAAAACAAGAAAGGCACAAGGCAGCAGCCAGAGGAACCAAAAGGCCAGAGTACTGGAAACATCATCTATGTAGCAGTTAAATTTATGAAGAAAGAGAAAGGGATGATAGTAAGTAGCTAAAATCTTTTGAGAAGTGAGCAGGATTGACCTTGGGGATGGGGGCATCTGTGGATGATCATCCAGTGGTATACACTGGTTAAGACGAGATTCAAAACCAGAGGCTTAGGAATAAGGGGAGGAGAATGGCCTAGAGGCAGCAATGACATTCACAAGTGCTTTCAACTGTACTGGGGATTTTGGTTTTGTTCAGGTATAACATCAAGAGAGCAGGAGATGATTGCCATTGCAAAGATAATCTGTTACTTATAATTCCTGAAAAGAGGGGCATACCATGCCATACAGAGCCACATGGGGAAGCAACAGAATTGGTCAGGAGACAGAAGGAGCAGGGGAAAACATGGATAAAGCTTTTACTGTGGGTTTTGTGGGAAGGCATGGATGTGGTAAGCAACAGAACAGTTTTAGGATTAAATAGTGTGAATAATGTTGGCAGGCTCCTGGCTTAGGGTGATCTCTAGTTGTCTGGTACCTGGCCCTGGGAGATTATGGGAGAAGAATATTGCCTCCTGGAGTGTAAGAGCCAGAGAGAGGAGGTAGTGGTAAAGGCTGGTATATGAACTTGGGGTTGGTTGATTTGCAAATCAAAGATAAGGTCACATGAAAGTCATTTACCATCTCTAGGAATGAGCGAACCCTGGGAGGGGCAGTCTTTCCCCAGTCAGTAAGGCCTGGCTAGCAGAGCAGAAGAGTACATACATAGCTGGAGCTGAGCACACTGGCACATGTCTGCAGTCCCAGCTACTTGGAAGTCTGAGGTGGAAGGATCACTGGAGACCAGGAGTTCACGGCCAGCCTGAGCAATACACTGAGACCTCACCTGCCCCCCAAAACAAATAATAACAATATATAGCTAGGGGTGTATTTCACTCCTATACAGTAGACTGTGTAGCCCCATTCCCCAAAAATGCCAAAAACACAGTTAATACAAGGAAAACATCGATCCCACCCATTCCCAGCCCTAGTAACATAAGAGATGTAGTAGAGAGAAAATAGGTATCACCTAAGAAAGTTGCTCTGTGCTGTTTCATGTATTTATCTGATTGATGACTTATTCTAGCACTTCTCGGTTATTGACATTAAACTGAAAATACCAAGGTCCTCATTCTTAGCTTTCCCTTTCATGCATATACAACTCTCACAACAGTAACAATGGTAAGACTCCTTGAGAGATCACAGATTCTTATGATCTTCAGTTGAATTCACTACTTTCCATTTATACTTGAGCCATACTTGAAGTCACTACATATAAAACAACTTTTCAAAAACTACACACACACACACACACACACACACACACACACACGTATCCATGTATATTTTTTGGGCTGTACTAGTGTTTGAACTCAGGGCCTTGTGCCTATCACTCGAGTCATACCCCCAGACTTTTTTGCTTTTCATTTTTCAGGTAGGGGCTTGCGTTTTTGCCAGAGACTAGCCTCAGATTGTGATCCCCCTATCTATAGCTTCATGTATAGCAGGGATCGCAGATGTGCACCACCAAACCTAGCTTGTTTGTTGAGGTGGGGTCTCACTAACTTTTTGCTGGGATCACAGGTATTGAGCCACCATGCCTAGCCTCGAAAACTATATATTATACCCTAACTCAAGTGCACACCAAAGGACTTACAGTGGAATAAACTGCAACATAAAAGAATATTTAAAATGTTTATCAACTATTTAAAGAGACCAGAATATAAATTGAAGGGACATATAAAGGACTGAATTTTATACAGTAAAAATTCAAAAATCTACCTTATCAGAATTTTTACAAAAAAATTTTAATCAATATTTTCCATTATAACTTTCCTCATGCTTTAACATAGAGAAATTTCAATGCAATCTGCCACAAAAAAACCACTTTCTATGTGCAAGACACTAGATGAGATGTCATTTGTGATGTGCACATCAATGAGTGAATCTAGTATCAAGGAGCTTACATAACAACAGACATACATGACTAACTTAATATATAAATAGAATGTAATTAAATGCTTGAAATATAGACCTATGAT